GGAAGTGTACTCATTACCTCACTCATGTAACTGTAACCCTCTGTATAGTATCTTTACAAAAAAAAAAAAAAAACCATGCTCAAGCCTCCAAGAAATGTCAAATGTTAGGTGAAGAAATCATGAGCAAATGACCATGTCTTACCTGCCCATGCCATGCATAGTGCAAAATAATGGCAGAATTAGGATGATTTCCAAGGAATATTGGCATCAGAGTGGAGATGAGTTCATGACGTAGAGTGTGCCAAGAAGTGTTGATTTGGAGTAAGGCCAATACCAGCATGTCTGGACAGTGTTTGATAGGAAAGCCAAAGAGTTGTTTGACTTGTTCATACTGCCCAACTTCTGCAAGCCTAAGCAGAGATTCAATCAAATCCAAGCTCTTCCTAAAAAGAATGAAGGAAAGATACTCTTTCAATGAAAATACTAGGATACAAAGTCTTCTAGGAGTTTTGGGTTCTGACCAAACTCATGGCTTCAGCTCAAACCCATGGCTTCATACACATTTTTGCCCACTGAAATACACCATTAGACTGAAAACTCAGTCAAAGTAAGTGACTACTAGCTAGTAGCACAAACCACATTGCTATTAATAAATTTAAGCTTTGTTTTGTTGTCGGTCGTGGGGCCTGAACTCTGAGCCTAGGTTCTGTCCCTCAGCTCTTCAGCTCAAGGTGAGCACTCTACGACTTGAGTCAAAGCGCCACTTCTGGGTTTTTCTGCTTATATGGTGCGGAGGAATTGAACCCAGAGCCTCATGCATGCAAGCAAGCACTCTACCAAAGCCACCTTCCAGCCCAAATTTAAGTATTTAAATTAATGGTATTTATTTAAAAATTATATACTTTTGAGACTGGTGTAGTTTGGTGGTAGAGTACTTGATAGGTACGTGTTGGAACCAAGACTGTGAGGAGCGAGGTGAGAATGCTGTTAGGCTTCAAACTAATTTCCAATGCAATCCAAATTAACAGGTAATAATTGATGGAGAGGATACGATACAACCATTGAACATTTGTATAATCATGGATTCACCTACCAGAGATACAAGATTTTAATGCCTGGGGTAAAAAAATGGAAACAAATCACCAGTTTAGAGCTATTCAAAATTCCAAATTTCATTGCTAGGTATCAGTGGCTCATGTTTGTAAACCTAGCTACTCAGGAGGCTGAGATCTGAAGATTGTGGGTCAGAGCCAAGCCCAAGCAGAAAAGTAACAAAATACTAGAGTCAATTTTTCAAAGAGTTTGGAAAATGATGCCCAAAATCCAAAGCCTAACCACTGTTTACCCTTTTTTGTTGGTGTTGGTCCTGAGGCTTGAACTCAGGCCCTGGGTACTGTCCCTATGCTTTTTCACCACTAGCATTCTACCATTTAAGCCATAGCTCCACTTTGAACTTTTTGGTGGTTAACTGGAGATTAGAATTAGACTCTCATGAACTTTCCTGCCTGGGATGACTTTGAACCACAACCTTTAGATGCTAGCTTCCTAAGTAGCTAGGCGAAAACCACTGAAGCCCAGGTACTGCTTATTCCTATCCTACAATGTTCATTATACTTCCTAAGTTAAACAGCAGCTATGGAGACAATCTAGCCAGCAAATCCTAAGACATTTAACTATGTAACCCTTTACAGAAAAAAGTTAACATCTGGCAAGGAGCCAGCAGTGGCTCATACCTATAATCTTAGCTACTCAGGAGGCTGAAATTTGAGGATCGCAGTTCAAAGACAGCCAGGGCAGAAAAAGTTCGTGACATTCTCATCTTCCATTAACCAGCAGAAAACCGGAAGTGGCGCTGTGGCTCAAGTGGCAGAGTGCTCACCTTGAGCTGAAGAGAACACAGGGACAGTGCCCAAGCCCAGAGTTCAAGCCCCATGACCGACCAAAAAACAAAACAAAAAAAAAAATTACCACCTTTTTAGCAATACAAGATTTTAAGCTGCTCTACACTGTTTAATGATGGAGTAAGCATCCTGGGAAAACATATAGTTAGTTGAACCTCTCATCCATAGAGGATCAGCTGCAGGACCTGCTCAAATAACAAAATCTAAATCTTAAGCATGCTCAAAAGTACCTTATACAAATAAAATGGTCTAATTTTTTTTTTTTGGTCGGTCATGGGGCTTTAAGTCTGGGCCTGGGTCCTGTCCCTGAGCTCTTCAGCTGAAGGCTACTAGCACTCCACCACTTGAGCCATAGCGCGACTTCTGGCTTTTTCTGCTTACATGGTGCTAAGGAATCAAACCCAAGGCCTCATGTATGCAAGGCAAGCACTCTACCACTGAGCCATCTTCCCAGCCCCAAAATGGTCTAATCTTGACCCATTCCTACACAATTAATAATCATCTAATCAGCTAATAATCTAATCATCTAATAATCAGCATCTGCTTCAATGTAAATGCCATGTAAGGTGTTGTTACAGTATACTGCTTAGGGAATAATTAGGAAAAGGACTGCATGTGTGGTACAGGTGCATTTTTCTTTTGAAAAACTATATAGATAGTTTGATCTATATATATGGAAACTAAATTTGGAGAGCTGACTATAATCACAAACAAAGTGAAGAAACATTACAAACCAAGCACTAGTGGATCACTCCTGTAATCCTAGCTGCTCAGGAGTCTGAGTATTGAGGAGTGTGATTCAAAGGCAGCCAGGGTGACAGTGAAAAATCTCTGTATGTCCTATCTCCAATTAACTACCAAAAAGCCAGAAATAAAGCTGTGGCTCAAGTGGTATAATGCTAACCTTAAGTGAAAAAGCAAAAGGACAGTACCAGACCCCTGAGTTCAAACCTCAGGACACGGACACACACGGACGAACACACACACACACACGGACGGACACACACACACACGGACGGACGGACGGACGGACGGACGGACGGACGGACGGACGGACGGACGGACACACACACACACACACACACACACACACACACGAAATATATGCCTTATCCCAGAGTCATGTATGACTACAACAAAGATGGAAGGAAGTGCTTTCACTGTACTTATAAATCCAGATAAAGCATTCTAGGTGAATATTCATCTAGACATTGGTCAGAATAAGATTCTTCCAGAAATTTGGAACTGGAACCCAGACAAACTAGTTAACTTAGTTGAAAATAAGTGCATAATAAATTGGACATCTTGGGAAACGTACAAACGACAGAAAGCAAGCAAATATACAAGGAAAAAACTGTCAACAATAAGTGGGAACCACAAACCTCAGTCCAATATTTGAGTTTCAAGTTTTTGATGTTAGAAAGTAATACAAACAAAAAAAAAAGCAGCAGCAGCAGCAGCAAGACACCATTGGCTTACACCTATAATCCTAGCTACTCAGGAGGCTGAAATCTGAGAGTCTGCTGAGATCTGAGAATCGCAGGTCAAAGCCAGCCCAGGCAGGAAAGTCAGTGAGACACTTTAACTCCAATTAACCACCAGAAAACCAGAAGTGGTGCTGTGGCTCAAGTGGTAAAGTGCTCGCCTTGAGTTGAAGAACTCAGGATAGCAACCAGGTCCAGAGTTCAAGCCCCATGACCAACAAAAACAAAAGAAGGTAATATGTAATATCAATACGACACTACTATAAAAGAGGAGATATAACTAGTGATGAAATATTCTTTATAAAAAAATTAAGAAGGGACTGGGGAGGTGGCTCAGTGGTAGAGCGCTTGCCTTGAGCTGAAGAGCTGAGGGACAGCGCCCAGGCCCAGAGTTCAGGCCCCACGACTGGACCCCAAAAAAAAAAAATTAAGAAGAGGGCTGGGAAGATGGCTCAGTGGTAGAGTGCTTGCCTTGCATGCCTGAGGCCCTGGGTTCGATTCCTCAGCACCACATAAGCAAAAAGAAAAAAGCCGGAGGTGGCGCTGTGGCTCAAGTGGTAGAGCGTTAGCCTTGAGCTCAAGAGCTGAGGGACAGTGACCAGACCCAGAGTTCAGGCCCCACTATCGGACCCAAAAAATAAAATAAAATAAAAATTAATTAATTAATTAAGAAACACTAAAAATACTGGGATTTTTTGGTTTTTTGGTCAGTCATAGAGCTTGAACTCTGGGCTTGGGTGCTGTCCCTACACTCTTCAGCTCAAGGCTAGCGCTCTACCTCTTGAGCCACAGCGTCACTTCCGGTTTTCTAGTGGTTTTATTGGAGATAAGAGTCTCACGAACTTTCCTGCCCGGGCTGGATTTGAACCGTGATTCTCAGATCTCAGCCTCCTGAGTAGCTAGGATTACAGGTATGGGCAACCAGCAACCAGCTAAAAATACTGTTTCTTAAATCTACTATGTACATGGTCACTATTTAGCTTTTATATTTCCAATAGCAGAGATGATCCCTTAAAGAAAACCCAGTCCACAGTATTACCATGTGGCAATTTCTCGATTGTCATCCTCTGGTGGTGCTTTCAGAATATCAGTGGCAACAGTGTGACAGGGATAGTCAGCAAAACAGAAGATCTCTGGATTTATAAGGGAATGTTGAATAAAGGAGAGCTGAAACAAAGAAAAAGTCAAATAATTATGATGGTATAAAAACTTGAAAACACTTGAAACACAGGCAAGTCTCAATTATTAGAAATTTTCCTTTAAAATCAGAATGATTGCTGTAAGCCACTGGCTCACATCCTAGCTACTCGCTCGGGAGGCTGAAATTTGAGGGCCACTTCTTGCCCAAGAAAGAAGTCCATGACACTCTTATTTCCAATTAACCACCAAAAAGCCAAAAGTGGAGCTGTGGCATAAGTGACAGAGCAGTAGAGCACTAGCCTTGAGAAAAATAGCTCAAGGATAAATAGTTCCCAGGCCCTGAGTCCAATCCTAGGAGACATATACACATATATACATAAATACATACATACATGCATGCATACACACATATACACACACAAATTAGTTGTCTTTCAAAAACTAAGCACTTCAGAAAGATGAAATTATCTAAGAGATGACCATTAAACATTTGATTTGCTAACCTATACAAAACAAATTTGCCTTTATAAAAATTTCAGTCAATGGGTAGATGGCCCCTATATAAGAAATAATTCCTGGGGCTGGGAAGGTGGCTCAGTGGTAGAGTGCTTGCCTTGCATGCCTGAGGCCCTGGGTTCCATTCCTCAGCACCACATAAGCAAAAAGAAAAAAGCCAGAAGTGGTGCTGTGGCTCAAATGGTAGAGCGCTAGCCTTGAGCTGAAGAGCTGAGGGACAGCGCCCAGGCCCAGAGTTCAGGCCCCATGACCGGACCCCCCCCCCCAAAAAAAAGAAAAAAGAAATAATTCCTGGGGCTGAGAATGTGGCTTGGTGGTAGAGTGCTTGCCTAGGATGCATGAAGCCCTAGGTTTGATTCCTCAATACCACATAAACAAAAAGGCCAGAAGTGGCACTGCCTTGTGCAAAAGAAAGAAGCTCAGGGACAGTGCCCAGGACTGGCTGGCAGGCAGGCAGGCAAGCAAGCAAGCAAGCAAGCAAGGGCCCCCCCCCCCGGCAGAGGAGGGGGAGGGAGGGAGAGAGGGAGAAAAAGAGAAAGGAAGGAAGGAAGGATGGAAGGAAAGGACGAAAGAAAGAAAAGAAAAAAAGAGAGAGAAATAGTTCCTATTCCTCTTCTTCCAGTTAATAGCCATCTACTTACCTGGCCTTCTGCATGTTTCCAAGGTCTATATATGAAGTCTACAGGGAACACTTCCATACCCAAACCCCTCTGAATGCCATAAACCACATTATGAAGTCCTTTACTGTCACGAATCTGAAATCCAGGATGATCTAGTTCGTAAGTTACCTCCTTGAAATTCAAACTCGGGTTCTAATAAAACAAAAGAATTTCAGAAGTTTAGCAAATGTATGCAAATGACACTTTTTACAAAGGGCCAGTCTAAAACTAAATTTCAAATCAAGACTTTCTACTTGGGTGGAATGAGCTCAATGGTAGAGCACCTGCTTAACATGTAAGATATCCTAGATCCATCTCCAGACAAACATGCACCCTTCATCCTTTCCCCTATCTCGTCTTAATATTAAAAAAGAGAAGAAGTACAAGTTGTCATGTCAAAAACGAACTTTACAACTTGGGGGGGGGGGGAGGATTGGGGGGGAGGGAGGGAGGGAGGATGGGAAGGGTAAACAAAGGAGAAGGCTACAATGCTTGATAAGAAATGTACTCACTATCTTGCCCATGTAATTGTAACCCCTCTGTACAGTATTTTCACAATAAAAAAAAAAAAGAGAAGATTTTGGAGACATTACCAAGCTCTTTTTAAAGTTTCAAGGCTAAGCTGTGCGCCAGTGGCTCAAGCCTATAATCCTAGCACTCAGGAGGCTGAGATCTGAGGATCATGGTTTAAAGCCAGCTCGGGCAGGAAAGTCCGAGAGACTCCTTCCTCCAATAAACCACTCAGAAAACCAGAAGTGGTACTGTGGCTCAAGTTGTAGAGCACACACCTTGAGCTGAAGAGCTGAGGGACAGTGCCCAGGCCCAGAGTTCAAGCCCCACAACCAACGAAATAAAGTCATGTGTAATCCAAGCACTTGGAAAGCTGTGACAAGAGGATCATAGGTCTGAGACCAGCACTATTACAATGAGCTACATCCCAGCTCGCATTGTGTGTGTGTGTAATTTTTTTGGGGGGAGGGGGGCCGGGCTGAGACAGTATCTTGGCAACATCCCTTATGCTGGTTTGTCACTTTCTGAGTAGCCCAAGCTGGCTTAAGAACTCACAATTTTCCTGCCTCAGCTTCTAGAAAGCAGGGACTACACTTATGCATCAATACATAAAGTCCAAGTATGAAATTTTTTGTCTATTTTGGTTGGCTGTGGGACTTGAACTTGGGACCTGGGTGCTGTCTTGAGCTCTTTTGCTCAAGAGTGACACTCAACCACTTCCAGTGGTCTGATGGTTTAGCTGAAGAAAAGAGTCTCATGGACTTTCCTGCCTGGGCTGGCTTTGAAATGCTGAGTAGAAGCCGGGTGCTGGTGGCTCACGCCTATAATCCTAGCTACTCAGGAGACTGAGATCTGAGGATGGCGCTTCAAAGCCAGCCCAGGCAGGAGAGACTGTGAGACTCCTATCTCCAATAAATCACCAGAAAACCGGAAGTGGCGCTGTAGCTCAAGTGGTGGAGCGCTTGCCTTGAGCTGAAGAGCTGAGGGACGGCGCCCAGGCCCAGAGTTCAAGCCCCACGACTGACAAAAAAAAAAAAAAAAGAAATGCTGAGTAGCTAGGATTACAAGTGTGAGCCACCAGCACCTGTCTTAATATCACACTTGGGTTTCTTCAACAAGAGTGAAGATTTACAAGTCAATGCACTATCCTCTTCTAAGAAAAGTTTACCAATCCTTTTTTCATTCTTCTATGTTCTTGTTAAGTATTTCATCATTTAATAGAAGTGCTCTGCTTATTGAGAGCCATTACTTAACTGTAGATAGTCTGAACACGGAAGCAGTCAAAATAAACGTGAAATTTTATTGCCCCTTGCCACCATAGAACTTCTGTTAGGTAAAACTTTTATCCACAATTCATTCATTCATGCCTCCCTTTTCAATAATTCTTCAGTCATTACTTTCTAAACAAATAAGCTCATCTCATCCCCTAAAAAGCCCTCAAGTATCATCTCACAATTCACCTTAGCAGTGCTACTCAAAATTATAAGGCATCATCCCCAGTAAGATGCTTGAATCGGATTCTATACTGTTTTACATATCCAATTAGCCTGATGTTCACTGGTTTTCCAGCCATAAGATTACAAAATTAGGGCTGGGAAGGTGGCTCAGTGGTACAGCACTTGCCTTGCATGCCTGAGGCCCGGGTTCGATTCCTCAGCACCACATAAGCAAAAAGAGAAAAGCTGGAAGTGGCGCTGTGGCTCAAGTGGTAGAGCGCTAGCCTTGAGCTGAAGGACAGCGCCCAGGCCCAGGCCCAGAGTTCAGGCCTCACGACAGGACCAAAAAAAAATTACAAAATTACAAAAGACTGCTGCTTATTTGGCTGGGCATGTGACTTATAAAAACTGGTTTTGTTTTGGGTACATCATACTAATATCATGATTAAAAATATAGGATTGCCAGGCATCGGTGGCTCATGCCTATAGTCCTAACTACTCAGAAGGCTGAGATCTGAGGATCTCAGTTCAAACCCAGCCTAGTCGTGGGGCTTGAACTCTGGGGTTGGGCGCTGTCCCTGCCCTCTTCAGCTCAAGGCAAGTGCTTTACCACTTGAGCCACAGCACCACTTCCGGTTTTTATTGGAGATAAAGAGTCTCATGGACTTTCTTGCCTGGGCTGGCTTTGAACCTCGATCCTCAGATCTCAGCCTTCTAAGTAGCTAGGATTACAGGCATGAGGCACAGCTTTGAGACTCTTATCTCCAATAAACCACCAGAAAACCAGAAGTGGTGGTGTGGCTCGTGTGTGTGTGTGTGTGTGTGTGTGTGTGTGTGTGTGTGTG